GGGTTGGAGTCTTCGCGGGTGTGCACGGGTTTGCCCCGCAACCGCACCATTTGCCATCTCTATATAGAAATATCTTTCACTATAAGACAATCAAGGTAGATATTTCAGGAGAACGGAAAACAAGATTGTAAAAAGAATAACTGTGTGCAAAAAAAAAAAAACAATGAGAATACCTGTCATAGCCAAGACCTTCAAGAATAAGTGAGACAAACTCCCAAAACTTAATGGGCTCCATGTTCGTGACAAAATATGCCTGCAAACATAATTTCTTGATCTAAGAGTTATCTAACAAAATCCCATATCATGCTTTTCTCTTTTTCCAGAGGCACCATGACATGTAAGTAAACAGCATATTCATATGCTTTGGGAATGTTAAATCATTTTGACATTTAACTTTATTCCGGACCCCTATCCCCAGTTGTTAAAATAGCGAAAACATAGATATTGAGGGAGTGAAGAAATTACACTTTTGCTTTCAACTAGCAAAAGAAAAGGAAAACAAGAAAGGTGTCCTCTTTTTGAATGCTTCCTGTAACATTAAATTGGAGAGAGAAGATGAAACAAAATTATGACTTCGTACAAGGGGCGAGTTCCCTGACCAGCAAATGAATAGGAAGATCGGCGAGGTGGCTCTTATTTTACTGTTTGCTGTAAAATTATGGGCCCAAATACAATGGATGCACAAGTGCCCCTCCTAGTTATTGCCATAAATTTTATTTTACCAACAAATCTTTTTGATAAGTCTATATATAACCCGCTAAATATGAAGATTGTACTAATTCAGGGTATGAATCATGATTTCAAGATAAAGGGAGAAAACGGGGAGACCTTACTAACAGAGAAATAAAAACTAATTTATGCCATGCAGAGTTGGTATACCCCTAGAGAATTCAGCTTTTCATGGAATCATATCTAGCTAAGATATCTTGTTTACGCAACCATACAAGTGGAAAATCGAAACTAAGGAGAAAATCAATGAAATTAATGAGTTTCACCCAACTTATAGTTCTAGATGCAGTATATGCATTTGCTAAAGCTAAAACTTGGCATCATTTAGGTAAAACTTAATCTAGATAGCTCAAGCTTTTTTGCTGCAAAGATCAGGTTGATCACTTTTTTGCAAACATATCTCAATCATGTGGGATGGATACAAGAAATAGACGAAACTTGAATGGAAACTCAAAAATCTCCACTACATTGCATATTATATCCTTCCAAGCATCAAGGCTGCTACTTAAACTATTTGAAGAACAGAAATGCAATTGATATTAAAGCACATGGCACAGGTCATAACAGAATATGGAAAAACAAAGAAACATTACATTCCCAGCAGCTTTCTCTGCAACTGCTCCTCCTGATGCTAGAGCTCGTTCTGCACACACATGAGCATGTGCTACATTCTCCACGTAAGTGAAATCATACATGTTGTTGCCATCACCAATAATGAACTGTTTAAGAATTAGAGAAAAGGCTAGAAGTCAACCAAATAGTGAAAAGACTGTAGAATGCATCTGCAATTGGCCAGTCTTCAACTCCCTTTTAAATAGGTTAAGTTTGAGTTGGCCACAGAGAATGCCAATAATAGTAAGTGACATGGAATAGAATGTACAAATCACTTGTTAAGTTCCTCAAGATAGATCTTCTAATCAATGCTTTACAAGCTTCCAACTATTACAACAATAAATCCGACCTAGTATTCATATCTAGTATCGGATCTAAAGGCTTGCATATACACGAATGTGATACGGACTGAAAAGATGCATGAGCAACCAAAATGAGGCTCTAAATTCACCTTTGATTTTCCTGCCTTTGCAGCTGCAACTAGTGAAGGAACGAGCAGCCTATCACCAGGGCCAAAAAGACTGCTAGGTCTAATGCAGCATGTCAGCAACCCTTTGGTACCATTTGACTTGATAATAAGTGCCTCTCCTTCAGCTTTGGTTGCAGAGTAGAAATCATTATGCTGAAAATTTTGTCAGTAATAAGAGTATGGTTATACGAGGAATATTTTTCATTTGAATGAAGTATACAATAGGCGGAGGCACTACCTTAGCAGGATATGGCAGTGATTCATCCCCATTTAGAATTCCATGAACTCCATCAAACACCACACTGGGAGAGCTGGTGTAAATAAGTCTTTTCACTTTCAGCTCAATGCAAGCATCAATTATATTCTGGGTTCCTTCACGAACATTAATGCAGTTAAAAAGAGAGAAACAAAATTTTCATGTAAAGACAAACAATAACAGAGCATTAAAAAGATGTGAAAATAGAACTGCTACCTTAACTTCAGAAAGATCGTTTTTGTTCAAAATTTATTTGATAAAGCTTTCCCATTACCTTGCACATTAACTGAATAGTGGAGCTGGTGGTTGTTGATTGATGAATCTGGAGCAGCCATGTGGAAGACAACCTCAGCTCCTTCACAAGCTGCGAATATCAAATAAATAAAGTTAAGACACAACAACGTAATAAAATGGGCTATCTCCTATGTCACATGGACTCGGGCATAAATGCTGGCCGATAAGTATCTGGTATAGGTATAGGTAGGGTGCGTCAAGTTTTTAGCAAGTTTCTAATGTATCTTGAAAGATAAACATACGTGAAGTTACAATGGCGGAGGCAGGATTTTCACCAAGGGGATTCAAGAAATTAAAAAAAAAATAAACCCACGAAGGAATTAAGGGGATTCAATAGCTAATATATATATACAAAAAAAACTTTTAACCTTATATATATAGTGCAATTTTTTAGCGACTGAATCCCTTACTGCCACCCTAGCTCCGCCCATACATATATCCAAGTAACATTTATTTAGCATGGATACTTGGAGGCAAACGAATACTCCATGCAACATTAGTAATCTCAGATACTAAAGTCAACAAGATAAGTTTTGATAAAATAGCTAGGATGACTCAGCAAAAGTACATCTGACAAAGTTTACTTTATATGAAACAATTGGAACATAAGAAATCACCTAGAGCTGAAAACAGATGGAACCTTAATCGACAAACTAAAGCTGGAAGAACTAGTAACCTCCTCTAAACATTTTGGACATCGTAATAGAAGAAATTACTAGTAAATAAGTAACCAATATAAAACCAAAACAACCATATAAGAATCAAAAGTTCTGGATTTTGGGTGGACATATATGGGCTATCTCCTATGTCACATGGACTCGGGCATAAATGGTGGCAGATTAGTATCTGGTACAGGTATAGGTAGGGTACATCAAGTTTTTAGCAAGTTTCTAGTGTATCTTGAAAGATACGCATATGTGAAATTAGAGTGGTGGAACCAGGATTTTCACCAAGGGATTCAAGAAATAAATAAAAAAATACACCCACGAAGGAATTAAGGGGATTCAATAGTTAATATAAATACAAAAAACTTTTAACCTTATATATATAGTGCAATTTTTCCGCCACCCTAGCTCCGCCCATGCATATATCCAAGTAACATTTATCTAGCATGGATACTTGGACGCAAACAAATACTCCATGTAACATAAGTAATCTCAGATACTAAAGTCAAAACGATAAGTTTTGATAAAATAACTAGGATGACTCAGCAGCTAGGATGACTCAGCAAAAGTACATCTGATACAAGGCTTACTTTATATAAAACAATTGGAACATAGCAAATCACCTAATTGATTCCACACTAGAGCTGAAAACAGATGGAACCTTAATTGATAAACTAAAGCTGGAAGAACTAGTAACCTCCTCTAAACATTTGGGACATGGTAATAGAAGAATTTACTAGTAAATAAGGAACCAATATAGAACCAAAACAATCATATTCAAGAGTCAAAAAGTATCTGGTTTTTGGGCGGAAAAACCAACTGCAAGTTCACTAGAAAAAGCAATAAAACCATATTCAAGAACTAGTAACCTCCTCTAACCATTTTAATAGAAGAAATTACTAGTTTAGAAGTTCTCATTTTTGGGTGTCAAAAACAAGTAAAGATTCAGTAGAAAAATCAGCAAATCAAGAATGGACCTTTGAGGACTCGGGATTTGTTACGAAGATCCATGGATACATATACAGCACGGCCTGATTGCAGGGCTTGACCAAGTATACCCTTTTCCTCAGCAGGCTCAAGTTTAATGGATGGACCCAAATCAGCAATGCGAACATGATAGATTTCATAACGAATCAGCATTTCCACTAAATGCCGAGCAGCAAAGCCTCTTCCACCAGTCACCACACACCATTTCTCTTCTCCTTCACCCATTTACAACAACAATACGGTAAAATGTACAATGCCCAGCAGTTCGGTTGTAGGAGATTCTTGAAGGTGAAGTGGGCGATCCAAATAGAGGAGATTCCCTCTGCTGTATTTTGATTGTACACTTGTCCTGTTGCATAGAGTGAAGATTTTTTTTTTTAATTATTATTTGGTCTAAGAAGAAAGTAGAAAGATTTGCTTCCATTTAATATTAGGTTATTTTATTCACACAAAATTAACTTTTTGTTATATTAAAGTGATTGAATTACTTTTGTTATATTAAAGTAACTAAGTTTGTTCATTAAAATCACAAAATTTTACACACTATAATAGCAAAGTACCTTGAGTACACTATAATAGCAAAGTACTTAACTATATGCTCCCTCGATTTCAAAAAGACTTATTTCCTTTTTAGTCTAGGCAATCCCTTCTAAATTTAAAAATAATTTAACTTAAAATTTTTCTTTTACTCTTAGCGATATAATTTATAGTCACACAAATATCTATGGATTGTATTAGATCACAAATTTCAAAAGTCTCCTTCTTTTTCTTAAACTTCATATACAGTTAAATAGGTTCAAGAAAATTGAAACGTGTGGAATATTATATTGGTAAAGTTTAATTACTTTAATATAAATTTATAATCATAGTGGATAAAGTCTACTAATTTTACTGTTATGATGGGTAAAGTTCAATTATTTTTTTATGACAACAAATAGTTTTATGACTTCTTTTTTAAATGTCGATAAAGATCAGTAATCAATTGCGAAATTAACTGGGGAGAAATTAAAAAATAGTCAGATTTACAAGTGGTTGTTCAAAAATAGTCCAGTTTCAAAAATAATCGAAATTTAGTCACTTTTCATGTAAAGATAAATCTGAACGAAAGCACTGTTCAAAATCCGGAAAAATACTCCAGCATAATATACTGGAGTTCCAATATAATATACCGGTCCAGCATAATATATCGGAGTTTGGAGCACCGGTGCTCCAGACTCCAGTAAATTATACTAGAGCCAGCAAAGTATATCGGTCCAGCATAATATGCTGGAAGTTCATACAAAGGTGCACCGAACTCCAGTATATTATACTGGACCGGTCTCTGTTGCAGCAAAATAGTGGCTATTTTTAATTGACTTGGTAAATGCTGGCTATTTTTGAATGACCAATCCGAAAACTAGTTAGACAGTGTTGGTTTTGAAAGATTAGTCTGACATATAAATATTAAATACTACTTAAAGATTTAATATTATATAATTTTTAAAATTGTGAAAACTATAAAGAGTTAAAAGAATATCAAGTGTTTTGGAATACATTCCAAAATGAGGGGGGAAATAATCATAAATATTGGAAGAGAGTATAATTAATCAAAGAACGGTGATCAAGAGAATTAGATTCTTAATTACAATTACGTTCCCATGAACCTAGTTGACAAGAGAAAAAGAAAATCTTATCAGGCAACATTAGTAGTAATTATCTTTTCATAAATGGTCTATGTTTGTAAGGTAAAGGTAAGGTATGTGTACACATTATCCTCTACATACCTCATATATATATATATATATNATCTTTTTTTCTCCATTTTTTGAGTTTTCTCTTATTTTTTCCATTTACCTCGTTCAATAATAAATTTCTTCTGCTTTCGTTCACCTGTTAATCTAATTGACAACCCAACCGTTTCATTTTTCCTTCCTTGATAGTAACAGCCCATTAATTTGTACCAAACCCTTTCTTCCTCCTTCTTGATAACTACAATTTCAAACACTAATGTCTTTTCTTTCTCTCCATGGATAAAATGAAAATTCCTCATTTCTTCTGGAAATCCATATGTGATATGACTTGGAATTCAACTCAAGTTGGAAATTTAAGGGGGAAAGGGCTGGTAACTTTTTTTTCCTTTTTCTTTTTATTCAATCATAAATTCTTGGTTCAAATATGATATTCTTCACATTTTCCTCTTTTGATTTATTTATTTTAATAGGGAAACGATGTTGGACAGTGTTATCAATACATGTCGTCACCAAAAATTCAAGCTTCGGTCATCTGTCTTCACTTTCTCTTGCACGTTCAATCATGAATTAGAAGAAGCATTTTTTTTTAAAGTTTTTTGTGGCAAAATATCAAATACTATTATCATTTGTTGGTCATATATTTAATTCCTTTTTTTCTAAACTGTTGCTTATATGCCTTTTTGGAGACTGACATATGTATCCTCCTTTCATCGTGATGTTTTAGACTTCAATACTACACAAGAGGGGGTGATTTGTGTGGTACCTAATTTTCGCTTAACTTAATTATAGAAAGATCTGGTTCTTCTATGTGTTCCAACTATTACTGTTGCGGAAAGATAAGTACAGAAAATAAAGAACACAGAGATTTTACGTGGAAAACACGTGGCTCAAAAGGTGAAAAAACCACGATTTATCTTCTAGTAGGATTTTCCCAAACACTTCACTAAAATCACTGAGCCAAAAACTACATTTACAAAAACTCTTTCATAAACTTAGGATTAATTCTAATCTCGTTGTGGCACACAACTTCAACTATTGTGACAACTTCAAGTTAACTCTAACTTGAAAACTCTAAGTACCTAATACAATTGCTTCTATAAAAGCTGAAAGGTATAATGTAAAATCACCTACTACAATTGAACTAGAATAATAGATAGACACTTGGAACTGGTTCTTCTATCTGGTTCAAGTAGCATTAGGATTGCACGCTCGAATCACACATAAATTGCTTGCAAAACTGCCTTGCTATTTTGCTCTCAATTCACGTTTAACTTCTGCTTATGTGCATTACCTGTAAAAGAGAACAACACTGATATTTAAGGGGTTAGTAATTAGAGATTGACTAGAATACATATGTTACTCTTCTATGGTAGAAGAGTTCTAGTTGATCTCATACTCTAACTCTATCCTATTCCTAAAATGTGTTCTCTTCGCATAAGGAGTCTTTCTCACCTTATCCAATATGCAACATTTTCAATCAGATCAGGAGATATTACTTCTGATAAGTTAGATTTATCTCTTTCACGTGCATCTCACATGTTTTGGGTTGATCATGATTATGCTTCACAAGATGGACCTGGTCCATGTCTGAGTTCTTTTGTCAGTCTTCAAAACTTCACATTTACTTGGGACAACAAATTCCCCCTTTTTGATGATGACAAACTCTGTGCTTTTTACTCACTTAGACCCTGTAAGAACTCAGCTTAGTCATCAATACAAAGTTTAGAAAAATTCACTTATCATCAAGGACCAGGTTAATTAGGTTATAAATATCACTTAGTCAGATTATGTAAAGCACAATATCTCTTCCCCCTTTTGGCACCATCAAAAAGTTGCATACACAAAGTGTTAGTCCCAGATTTTAATAAGTACTCATGGCCATTGGGGCAACTGCAAGTGCAATCATGGATTAATCATCAGTAATCAAGTAAACATATTTAAACTATCAAGGAAATATTAACATTCAATAAGAGCGAAAACAGTAGATATCATTGATAGAAGATATGTTGCTACCATAATCCACAACCAGAAAGCAAAAATATTCAAAACATGAGCATAAAGAAAGAAAAATCCATAATCCGGGTTACTGAAGGTACTAGACAAGTTCAGGAGATAAAGGCTAGAATTCCTAAGGCTTGGGGTGCTAGAGGGTTGGTTTTGGGCTTGGAGAAGATTCAACACATTGTGAAGAATCCCATCATTCTTCTCATTTTCCTTGTTAAGCTATGTTCTGAGAGCATCCATCTCAGATTCAACCTCTACTAAGCGAGCCTTCAGCCTAGCTATCTCAGCATCTTTGGCCTCACTTTCCTAAACTAAAGCCCTGACTTTACTGTTGATAGGTGTCTTCTTGGATGAACCAGGTTCATTTGGAATGACATTGACTAGAAAGTCACAAGCAATCAGAGTATTAATTCCAAAGTAGTCCTTGCTTGTTGCCATTTCCCATTTCTTTAGAGGCACCTTGCATCGATCTAGAACAGTAGTCAAAATAAATACATAGGGGGTGGCATGGGCCTTGGAACTCTTGATAACTCTGTCCAGTAGCTTGATGATGAATGCAGACCAGTTGATTTGCCTCCCACTTTCAAGGCAATCCATCAAAACTAAGTCCATATAGTTAGCAACATGCCTTCTTTTCTGCCTGGGCAGTAGGCACTTGTTGACAAATTCAAAAAAGAACTTGGCCTCATTTACTTCTTTAACATCACAAAATCTCCGAGTGATTTCAAGGGCAGGAGGAAGGGAGTCCAGACTTGGCCATCTTTGTCTGGTGTAGTCATCATATCCCTCGGCAGAGATGTCAAGAATCTTTCCCAGCTTCTCTGCATCAAATGTCACTTGAACTCCTTTTACTTGGCTGGTGACTCTGCCTTCTTTGACCTCAGCATTTGCCATGAATTCAATGACCTTATTCCTAGCTAACATTCCATCCATCTGAAGGACCATTTCCTTCTAGCCCTGAACAGCTAGATCATCAACCATACTGACCATTCCTGGTTCCACTAAGTCTTTCAGCAATCTTCCCTTCAAAAAATTTCTTTTGCCAAATTTGGTCGACTTGTCTTGTTAACCATCAGACTCACTTTCTTCTTCACCACTCTATTCTTCATCTTCAGAAATTCTAACTTGTTTACTTTTCACTGCAGACCTTGTCCTCTTGGCCAATGAAGGTTCAACAACCTTAGACACAGATGAAGACTTCTTGGAAGAAGTCTTGGATTTTTTGGGCTTGGGGGTCTGAACCTCTATTGTTGTATGGTCCTCTTGATGGACCTATTCCATCTCCTCAACATCAACAGCTTCAGAGGAATCTGCAACCTTACCTTTTCCTTTATCCATCCTCTTCTTCTTACTTTCAGCCAAAGCCTTCTGTAGGTCACTCTCACTCTATTTCACCCTGCTTCTTGTGGCTCTTTCCTTTGGCAGGGGAGTTTCAGTAGTTGTTGGAGAGGAAGCCTTTCGTTTCTTGGAGGGTTTAGCAGCACTTGGAGCTTTTGGTGTTGTAGTTCTCCTTTCTTTGGATCATAACTGGCACCTACTTTCTTTATAAGGTCTGCTAGGGTCTGCTCAATAGATGAACCAGGTTCATCTGCCTATGAACTTAGATTAACTAACCCTTCAGCAGCCTCCCCAGAACCACTTTCCCTGACTTCTTGCCACCTTCTTCCATAGTTTCCTATACAACCCCACAGATAACTGGTAACGGCAATTCAGAAGTGGGTAAAGAACCAGCCACTCTTTTCCCTTTTCCCCTCACATCACCACATATACCCTCTCTTTTTCTTTTTCAATTTTCTTTTTAGCTACACTCCTTCCCAATTCAGGCATTTCTACATCCCGAACAAGTCCAACCAAAACAAACATATTTTCTAAATTTTCAGCCAAAGCAGAACTTACCTTAGAAAGGGGGTTTTGAGACTTCTCAGAGTCAGACGACCCAGGTCCTTCCCCCTCACTCACAGATCTGAATGAATCGTCTGAGTTCTCAGAATTTTGGGCATGGGCAGCCTTCAATTGTGCATTTAATTTATTTGACAATGCACTTGAGGCTACAATTTTTTGTGCTAGCATTTTAACACGTCTTTTCTTAGGTTGGGGGTTTCTACTAGACAATCAAATAAACCTGTGCAGTTCAAGTATATATATATAGACAACAAAGGAAGTACTGAAAGCAACCAATCAATGTGGGAGGGGAAACATGCTGTGGGGAGGAAACAATTTCAAATATAAATATTCAATAAAAGAAGGAGACAACAAATTCATAATATCAACAAGTATCAAAAGGAATCAACAATTTGCACGGCATCACCCTTCGTGTTTTTACTCTCTTCCTCACCCAAGCAATATATAAAATAAAACTGTACACGGCATCACCCTTCGTGCTTTTACTCTCTTTTCTCACAATATAATTAATAGATATCAGTACGGAATGACACATCGTACGGCACGACATCACTCTTCGTACTTTACACTCTTTCCTCACAATATAATCAATAGATATCAGTACGGAATGGCACATCGTATGGCACGACATCGCCCTTCGTGTTTTACACTCTTTCCTCACCATATCAAACAATACACGGCATCACCCTTCGTGCTTTATCACTCTTCCTCACCCAAACAACAATCACAGATTAGGGGCAAGGAAATAAACTGGATAATAATTGGGATTCCAATAAGGGCACAACAATTAACAATAAAATTCCCGGCAAGGAATATATCAACAATTCCACAATTATCTCGGCAAGGGAATAATTCAATAATTCTTTCTCTTTCTTTCATTTCTTACTTAGTAATTCATTTTATAACTTGAGCCAACGCTCCTCAAATATTAAATATCACCATTTCTTTCACATGCACTTCACAACATATAGAAGTCATCATTTAATCATGGAAGATATAACCAAATTCGAACATTCGCGATATAAGGACTTACGGTCATGCTAGACACCAACGTATAGATACTCGTCACCATGCCTATACGTTGTACTCGACAAATAGCAAGTAGCAATTAAGACTCAACTCATATTCCCTCAAACTAAGGTTAGACGAAACAGTTACCTCGCTTTGCAACCAATTCAAAATTCCAACAAGTCTTTGCCTCGCGAATTCGTACCCGAAATTCTTAAATCTAGTCATAAACAATTCGATAAATCAATAAAAATTATAGGAGTTAATTCCATATGAAATTCTACATTTTCCATTTAAAATCCAAAATTGCACTAGAAATTCGCTCGTGGGGCCCACGTCTCGGAACCCGAAAAAAATTACGGAATATGAAACCTCATCCAACCACGAGTCCAACCATACCAATTTTACCAAAATCCGATATCAACTCGACCCTCAAATCTTCAAATTAAATCAAGAGGGTTTTCAAGATTTTCCCAACTAAAATCACCAATTATATGTCAAAACTAGTAATAGATTCGGGTAATCTAACCATAATTAAGTTAAGAACACTTACCCCGTTGTTTTCTCTGAAAAAAATATCCCGAAAATCACCTCTCCCCGAGCTCCAATTTGCTAAATATAGAAAATGGGACGAAGTCCCATTTTCAGAAGTTACATTCTGCCCAGAATGTTTTCGGGGTTACTGTTCACGTATTTTTACTGTTCACGGGGTACTATTCACGGGTACTATTTCTGCAATTTTTCTAAGTCCGAAATCACTCCGAGACACCTCCGAAACACTCCCGAGCCCTCGGGGCTCTTAACCAAACACATACACTAACTCAACAACAACCTACGAACTTAACCGT